ATAAAAATATCCTTTAGTTTTACGATATAAGTCTAATTTTATTCGGCTAATTGCAAATTAATCGAGTAAATTTTTTATAGTTTTTTTTCACTTTTTTAATGAAATTCTTTACAATTTATTATAAAAATCAGTTCACATAACTTATTTAAAACGATACAAAATTATGGAAATAACAATATTCTACAAAAAAGTATAACTAAAAAAATAAAATATGTTATCAGAACTTAATATTATTTTTAATTTAAAGTGATTTTGTATCATATTAAAAGTTAATCAAATTACAAATATGAGACTTGTATGAACACTGCAGTAAGTTTTTATCATCTAGAAATGTTCACAACATATAAATTTCTTTTATAAATTATCTGTACATAAATTATTAAGTCTGAGTTATTTAAAAATGTTTCAAAATATATCTTGTGCTTAATAATCTCATCGATAGTTTTAAGTTTAATATTACTGATATGTTCCTTCACATAAAACATTATTCGTTTATCTTTTCTAGCGAATAAAATTTTCCTTAGGCATTATTAAAGAATGTTTAACTAACGCTTCCCTCAATATTTTGTAAATTTTATAAATAATCGAAGATTCCATTACTAAATTTATTCAATTTTACTCACAAACTCAGCTACAATTGCGTTAAAAAATTGAAAATCTCGATCAAAATTACACTTCAAAATACCTTGCGGTCCATTAAGTCGTTGTAAGATAACGGAAAAAATAATAACAAATATAAGTTATGTAAAAAATGTTGAAATTATGGGCAGTTAATATTAATTACTTCAACAATCAAATAAATTTGTGAAGAATTTAGTAAAACCGATTTTATTCCAAGTCCAATCAACTGACACGTAAAAACAAATGATTTAATAAAAGAAAATCAATATTTCTCTAAAATCAAATAGAAATACGCGTGATTAATTCAAATTATATCTTTTAAGAAGATAAAAAATTGACATATAAAAATCTAAAGAATGTTAAGAATTTATTATTATTATTATTTTTTTACTTTTTAAGCCTGTTTTATGATGGTACCTTAAAGATTTTCCAAATTTTGTTGTCAAAATAGTAAATTATTTCAAACCAAGTTTTTTAATTCAATAAATAGTTTAGAAAACTAAACATTTCTTAATGATTAATGACAATTTAAAAATTATTTATTCATACGTCGAGTCGATAAAAACTTAAGTTTCAAAAGATTAACTTTATCTTGAAGCTTTAAGTTAACTAGTCTTACAGTATTAATTACAGTATAGATATAACATTTGTCTCTAATAAATTTTTCCATGTAATTCAATTTCTTATGATCTATACCTTTCTTTAAATCTCTATGGTGAGGAATATCGACTGACATGAATGTTGGATAAGGAATGAACTTTCTGTACCAAAAGCTTGAATTCTCTTATATTGCTCTACTATTTTTTAAAACAGAAAGTTATGCACAGAAATGAATCTCGTCATTCATTCAATTTATAAGAGTTTTCGATCAAAACAAAATCCTCTTAAAAATAAAGTATTTAAAATATTGAATGAATGATTAATGATAATAATAGAGTAAGTATAAAGATATACGCTTGAAATTTTCTTTATAAACGATAAAAATATTTAATTTTATTATTAAACAACTAAATAGTTTTCTGTAGAAATGTATATACAATTTTATTTATAATTAAACTATATTTTAATAACTAAAATATATTATTATCTGGAACTAATAGTAGTAAAATAAATTAAAGTATTAGTAATTAATCNTACAATATAAAATTACACATAAATAGCTCTAAATTATTCAAAGAATTCAGCATTTAATCATAGAAACGTGATACGATTATATACTTTAGTTAATGAGCAATAATTCTACTGATTTAGCAATAAAAAAAATTGAAAAAGTTGAATAAAAATATCTTGTTTCCAGGGGAGAAAAAAAAACACAATTAATTTATTGCTGATAGACGACTTTCAGATGCAAATTAAAAGATGTCTACGTCAATCTTCATGTAAAGAAAATGAAAGAAAAAAAAAATGTCGTTAAAAATGCGAATTACGAAATTATAATTATTATTTTGCATAAGTCATATGTAATTTTATCTTTAATTCTTTAAAAAGTTTTTGAAATTTATAGATTAGGAAACTGTCGTTTGAAAATTAAGTTTAAAAAATTCTGCCTGGAATGTGAAATGAGGCATTTTAAACAATATTTCGACTTTTCAAATTCAAATTTATCTTACAAAATTGTTTGTACAGTAAGTTTTGGAAATGAACGATTTTCTGTAGAAAATTCTTCAATTTTGTTAAACCTATGATGGACATTTTTATAAAAACAAAATTGAAAAATGAGCTGCCTGCAACTGATATATATACTCAACACTCAATTTTTCAGAATAGTATCCGCAAATCTTTGAAAACTTTACGCTCGAATGTCACTTGTCAAAATACACCTGAATTATTTACTCTTTTCCTTCATGAAAAGATCAATTTTGCATTAAAACGAATCAATATTCGTCATTGATAACAACAAACCTTTTCGAAATATTCCAAAGAAACGAAAAAGACTTATTTCAAACACGTTCATTTAAAATGCACTCTGAATTTTTACACTCGTATATAACAAAATGAAGTGATAGAAACCATTAAGTTAAAAAGATAAAATATGCTTCAAATTTACAAACATTTTCTGTTTACTACTATAAAATTTCTGATTTTATAAAGGAAAAACATTTTCAAAACAAACAAATGCACTTCATACTCTGAAAGATTATATTAATTTTACAAAATGTGTTACATAAAAATTATGTATAATATCTATTTTACTAATATCGTTAAAATATGTCAGTCATTAACGTAACTTTAACACTACTCATTAAATAATAAATAAGCAAACAAATACAAAAAAGTCAAAATTACAAAAATAATATCTAAATATAATATTATAAAAAAGCAAATATGATTTTTTTCGAATTCAAATATAAACGAGATCTCGAATATTCAAATATTTCGTATATCTCGAATACTTAGTAAACTTAATAAATATTAAAACAAATTATTAGTATTTAATTAATTTATTTATTTATATGTATTAATTAATTGATAAAATAAAAAATGTAAAAAGTAATGAAACTTCAAACTGTTTATTTTGACTTTGATTTTTTCAGTACCTTCCTTTTAGTACTGCTATCTTAACTATCAATACAATAGATTAGGCAATGATTGTTCTCATTTTCATCAATTGCAAATTTTTATTTAAGAAAAAAACATTCGAATACGTTTAGGATCTAGTTTGCTTCTTTTCTTGTGACAAATTAAATCAGAAGTGCTGAAAACAGGCTATCAGATTGGAGAAATTTCCTCAAAAATAAGGACTATTCAGTCAAATGAGAAAAATGACAAAGAGGTATTAATGAGAAAATTTTATATTTTCGAAATAGAAATTGGGAAATATATAATGTTTAATTTAACGATAATTTAACTAATTGATATTAAATATTGTTTTGAAATTTTTTATATTGCATCCCACATTATTAGTTTTGCCTAAATGGAAGGAAATTAAAATATCTTTAATTTTATCAAGATGCTATTATATAATTTCATAAACAACATTTTGGTATAAGTAAAGATATATTCATTTTTATAAATGAAAAATATGATCAAATTGATTTGCCTTTAATCTCACATACTTTTAATTATGCTCATTTATTACATATGTTTGTTGGTTTTATTATAAAATAAAAAAATTTGAACCAAAAGAATATTATTAAAAAGTTCNTATTTGTTATGTATTTTATTATTTTAAGGAATTATAATATATAAATAAAGTAACTATAATTATTATTATTGATTACTCAATACACAAGTTAAAAAGAAAATCATCACAAAACTTTTTAGAAACTTCACAATATATTATCAATGAAGAACTTATAACAATTATTTCAAACGTTAGTATTTAATATTTCATAGACTAAATTTCATTTTTAAAACAAGAGATTATAATATTCTTTTGTAGAAGATCGTTAGATGGTGTTTATTAATTCTATCATAAATTTAAATGACAAGTTTTTATATTATTAGTTACATGAATTAAATTACTAATTTATTAATATTTTAAAATATTAGCAAACAAAAATAATAAAGCTGAATAGAATTTTTAAAATTTTACCAAGGATAGCACTGCAATGCCCAAAATTGCAACTTGGCAATATTTTTATTAAAGTGGCAATGAAAACCCTAGTCTGTTTATTTTGACATTCATCTTGAAATTGAATCACAAAGCACGATTCAGGAAAAACAGCAGAATGTTGAGCTCTTGTGCAATGAGAGTCCCATGCACCGCACACTTAGCAATTTCATGACATCGTGCAGCAAGTTTGGACAGACAACAGTTTTCATGCAATGCCACCCGGTGTTTCAAGATTGGGGATTTTTTTTTTATCAACTGATAGAAAATTTGGGAAATTTTTTGGAGAGACATTTTTTTTCAGTAGACTAAAACAAAAATTTTGACATGACAACATGTGATCAAATGTTTTATTTGGAATTATTGATTAAAAAATTTTTCATTGCAAACTTATTACTTTCTTGTTTTATCACTATAGGCTATGTAATCCCTAAAACAATGGAGGAGTTAAAGGAATGCAAATTCCAAGGTAGAAACAGAGTGGATGCTACAGCAATGAAAGCCATTGAAGACATCACAATAAATGCCCTCAAGGACTGATTTGAAGAGGCAATGGCAGAAGTGTATAGTTGCAGGAGAAGCTTATTTTGAAGATAGTATAATGTGAAAGTTTATGAATATGCCAAACATTTAATCTATTTGTGACTATTAAGTACTACTTTATGACCACATGTTTTATAATGGCACTAATTTTAAAACTAGTATAAATTTTTCATTATGATTTTATGAACTTTCATGTTAAAGTACTCCATGTATCTATAATTATTTTTCTTTTGGTAATTTCAACACAGTAATATATAGTTCAAAATTTATTTTCAGAAATGATACTGTGCCTGCAAAAAATTAGTTTTCTTCTTGATGTCTGGCTTGCTAAACAATGATTTTATAGGAATTAAGTACTAAAATCATGGATCTACTGATCTACTGTATTTATATGCATTTATGCATTACACACAACATTAAAAAATAATTTCTTCTACCTTTTCTACTTGATAATCCTTTATCTAGTGAAACAGGATGAAAAGGTGGTGCCAAAGAAATATTTACAGGAGTAGCTGCCATAACAAATTGTGGTGCCATTGCAGTATAAAATGGAGGGGCCATTGCAGCCATCAATTGTGGATGAAGAGGAACAATTGGATTCTGAATTCTGTTTGTTGGTAATGGTGGTGTCGACGATGGCACAGACGTTAAAGGAGATTGAACCTGCACTGCTCTCTAAATAAATAAAATAAATAAATTGGCATTAATGAAATAATATCTTATTAGTCAATTAGAATAAAATATTGTAATATTTCTTATAAAATAAAATTTAAAATTTCAATATTAACTCTTTAAATACAAAATCAGCCAAAAAAATCTTAACAAAAAAAATTATTCAAAACTATAACATATTCATTAGTAAGGTTATATAGATATTTATTGCAAATCTTGCAACAATTTTAATTAAGTATAATTACAATATTCACAAAGCTCAAATCTTCACAATCAAATACCCAAATACCATATTTATTCAGTCTTTATTTTGGCTAGACATTAATTGTTGAAGCTAAGTAAAAATATGAGGTTAGACAACCATTTTATAATAATAGTGATTAATTATTTAATTTGATTTAAATTTAACAACTTAGGATGTTCTCTAAAAAAAAGATGAATGTGCAAATTACTTAAGTTTCGATGATTAAATTATACTATATTTTTTTCAGACACTGTAAAGTGTTGACACTATACACTGAACTTCTCACATCCACTTTATTTTCTTATGTACTTTACAGTCTTTAAACTAATTGTTCCAATTACCAATAAGTGTTTTGGGCTGGTGTTCCTCGTATGTTGGCTGATATATGTTCTCTACAGTGATTTTTATTCTCCAAATTCTCCAATGAAAAATCTTACATACCTCTATGTAAGTTTTATCTAAAGAATACTCGCAGAATTTCATTTTCTACATTGGATACAGTACCAATAACAGCACATACCATCAGATAGCAGCCATATATTGCTTAACACAAGTTTAGCACTCCTTGAATCATCCCACAAACTGCATACACACATTAAGTTCAACATAGAGATTGAATTAAAGTAACATATATCTGAAAAAATCTAGCTTTTGAATATTTAAAGTAGAAAATGTTTCAATTAAAAATATTTCATATTAACTCTTAACTGTGCTATGAAAAAAATATTGCTGCACTAAAATGATTTAAAACTGAAAAAATTATTAAAAATACATGGAAAAAACTAAAATGTCTTCATACCTCCATCATATCCAACAACCACAAAGGAATGGTCTTCCTTTACAGAGACAACCTTTTAATAGAGGCTACATGTCTGTAAAAATACGCAGAACAGAACTGAAACTAAGTATTTTTAATTATTGGCTTATCATTAATGAACATTTTAAAACTGCTTTGCATATTTTTACAAAGGTGCAGCCTCTAATAAAAGATCATCTCATGAAGGAAGACTGTTTGTTCCTGGTGACTGAACACGATGGAGATATGAAGACATTTTAGTTACTTTCACATATTTTTAATGTAAAATAACATCAGCCATTTCAATTAAAGAATTATTTATGAACAGCAGATAGTAATTTACATATGCATCATTTGATATTGAAAATGTCAAGATGTATTACTGAGAATACTAAATTGGCAAAATATTTCCATGAAAATCTTTATTGATTTCTACAATTACAAGTAATCTTGTTATAAAAAAAATGTGTGCGAAAAATATGGCTGTCTTTTCAAAATAAATAATTAATTAAAAAAATACATACCGGCATAAATGCTTCAGCATGAGGATTCAGTGTAGAACTGCGCAACAAAGTAGGAGGCTGCTTGAGTATGTATGAGGGCTGCTTCTTTTCTCTACTTCAGTTTCAGATTTCTCCTTATCTTCTTTTATGTTATTGGCCGGTACTTTATTAGTATTTTCTTTTGATACCTCTGGCTTTTCTTTTCGTTCCTCTTTATTTTCTTCTGACAACTGAAGATTGAAAATTTAATATCAAAATTATGATTATTATATATATTATTTTCATTTAAGTAGAAAAATAAATTAATACTAATAAAAATTTCTCATTCACAAACAATAACACATCAACACAAATATTTTTACTGATTAAATCAGCAGTCAGCAACAACAATAATAATAACTGATAGCCATATTCATAACCAAGGATTGATAGAGTTAAAAGTAAACCAATATGCAATTATATACTAAAAGTAGAGTGAATGGTAATTGGTTAACTTTTAACTCTTGATTCTTGTTTGTGAATACAGCCATTAAGGTTCTCATCAACATAATGACACTAATACATTATAACTTTATACAAATAAAATAAATGCACAAAAGTAAGTGTTGAAACTTGAAGAAAACTTAATCTCTAAAAACATTACACCTGCTTATTACAAGTTTATTGTAATCTTACTGATGCCCAAGCACTATATATGTTCAATTCTTCAAAGTCCTTCAATATAAAATAAATACTTTTTAAAAAAACACAATGGAATGTTAATTGAACACACTAGACTACTCAATATCCTTTATTCAATTCTTTACTTGGGTTGATACATTAGTAAAAACGTTGTGTTTTGGGCTTGAAAGTCCCTCTCCAGTTGACTCAGTACTACTAGACTTGGATCTCATTTTAATTTCCTGGCTATTATGTATACATAACAAGGGGCATTATTAAAAGCATATCAAATTTTACTCTCCAAAGTTTCTGCAAATCTCCACATTCTCAAAATGTGTTCAAATTGCGTTCATGGACTTTAAGAGCCCATGAACCCCCAAAAAAAGTCAAAAAACATGGAAAAAAATTCCATGGATATGTATCTGAATGAATGCTGGCATCTATTTTGTTTACATCTCAGGATAGGGTAAAATTAAGAAACAAAATTTGGCATGGTTACTTGTATATAAAGGGCATTAATGCTATTAAATTTTGGTGGTTAAAGATTGACAGGGTAGGGAGATAAAAAGTGTTCATGTACCATATCTTGAGAGAGGTAGGACTTAATGAAAAATTAAATCATTACTAGCATTTAGAATTTCTTTTTATAAAAGTCATCATCACTACCTTCAAAATTAAGCTTATTGCCATTTTATAATAATTAATATAAAAAACTTTTTATAACAAAATTTTCCCCTGGAATTTAGAGACCCCTTGGGGAGGTCAATGGAATTTTGAAAAGGGTTGATTAAACTGAAGAAGTCAATTAAGAGTCGATGAAAAAAACCAGATACTTATTGTAGTTTTTGAGAATTTAAGATAAAGACTAACAATAATTATGCAGAAAAATCATTAACTAATTTAGTAATTCACTTGATATATTATTCAAATTCTTGGAAAATAACAAAAATTTTAAGCGGATCAATTGAAAAGAATGTTTTCTATATGGGAGTCAATGCGAGAAGAGGGTTGGGGAACCCCTAAATTAGTTTATAGAAAAAAACCTTTTGATTACAAGAATCAAGAGCCTATTGTCCATTTCATATGCTTTGATATTGTGTTTCATAAACCTTAACATTTTTTTTAATAATTTTATTATAAACTTAAGCATTTTTTATTTCTTTTAACTCTTCAAATATTGTTTTGTTTTGGATCTCTTAATTTTGTTTCTACCTGAATTACATTATGTGTGTGTAAAGAAGACTACAGTAATGGAAATGTTTGATTTTTTCCCAACTTATCATATTTTTTCAAGTTGAAACACAAAGTTAAAATACAAATAAAGCCAAATTAAATGTTACTTAAAATGCTACAGCATTTGATTAGAATTTTTAATGTGTTAAATAAAAGTATGTTTTACATAATGTAAGTATAGAAAAAGATGATGATGATGATAAAATGAATTTAAATTATGATATCAATTATAGAAAATTAATTGTTTTCTTACCTTAAATGTTGCATGAAACTTTTTCAATTCTTCGGTCTTCTTTTCGTTTCGTGCTAAAACACAATTTTAATTGATCTTTAACAAATTACTGTTACAGAATTATAGTAATTAAATAATAAAGTTAATGTAAAAACATTAGAAAACAGAAAATATAATATTTAGTAATTGTTATTCAACAGTTTCAACATTTCATATCTCCATAATCATTTACTAAACAATGAAACTTCAGAAACTCAAATCAATGAAACTTCAGAAACCCAAATTACACAGATACTATGCTTTATTGGAATAAACTTTTAAATATATTAAGTGCCTTTCATCAGAGGCTGTTAAGTGGCACTTTCTGTATCGTTAGTGGATTTGACAAGTCTGGTAATTTTCTGTAATTTTTTTTGCATTATTATTGTTTTTTGGTGATCTTTGTGCCTAAAGAGACTGATAAGTGCCCAGTGAGCACATTGTAGGTGGAACAAGACTGAATTGGCATGTATCGTGTTACTGACTGACCACGTGCACCATCAGTGGTTAGGCCTAACCATCCTTTGTTATGGGTGGCTGTAAACTGAAAGCTACACAGGAGTCTAATGACAAAGAGATACATTGTTTAGGCTTTGTCTAAATTATAGATGAAGTCAAAGGACTGATTTTGCCGATAGTCGACAAAAGACCAGTCAACCAACCTAAATTTCATAAGTTGGATAAATTACTGCAGAGGCTCGCTGATCTTTATCTCAGAGCTGTTGAAAAGCATGCCAATATACAGGAGAAGTTAATTAAACTGCAAAATGAAAAGACAGAAGTTCAAACAAGAGTTAAATTGTATGCGGATTGTTTGTCAAGGAATTCCGAAGGTCTATAGGAACATTTTAGTAATGCTTCTAGTAAAAAAAGAGAAACTCTGATTTTAATACCAAATTCAGAGGCTAAAGGTAGGGAGAATCCTAAAACTGTAAAGACTAGTCTAATGAAATTATTGTGTCCCAGAGAGAGTCTAGAATAAGTGTTGACAGCTGCATAGTGATGAAAAATGGCAGAATAAAACTGCAGTTATCTAATACAGAAAATTTGGATAGAGCCCTACAGCTCATTGATACCAACAGAGCTGAAGGGTTCCAGTATTCAGCAAAACGAAAAACCAAATTACTCCCTGTCATCTGGATACAACACATTGATAGAGACTTTAATGCAAATGAATTGTTTGATTGTCTGTGCTCCCAAAACAAATGCATAGAAAATGCAATTAAAAGTGGGAAAAAAATGAAGATTCTCTTCCCGATACCATCATGATCTAACTTGAGTAATTCTTGGGTAATAAGGGTCTCCCCTATATTAACCCCTTCTGAGCCGCGCTCGAGTGTGACTCGAGCAAGTTTTATAGCGTTACGTCGTTAAGGTCACTTTTGAAAAAATAATTTTTTTTTTGAATTTTTGGAATGTTTTTTAGGTCCCCAAATTTTTTCAAATTTTATCGCGATTTTAATGAGCCTTTGATAAGGCTCGATTAAGGCTTAATGTTTTTTTAATGGGAGTTTTTTTATCAAAATTAATTTATCATTCTAAAGTTGTAGCGCACCGATTTTCCTTCGGTAAAGTTATTTAAAGCTGCTTTCTGATGTCAAAAACGACTTCCGATAGTTTTTTAATTTTTTTAATTAATAGATTTTATTATATAGAAGTTTAATTAATTAGGGGGGGTCGGAAATCGCAATAAAAATTATAATTTTTTAAAAATATTTAAAAATATACCGCCAGATTGAAGTCACCCTACTTCAAACCCTTGTCCTCCTGCGATGTCTATGAGAATGTCCCGGGAAATCCGACTCCAGCTGTGTTCAAGGTCATCCAGCTGTGTAAACAATAACTCATTGGTGTTAAATTTCGCAGAAAGGACAGACAAAAAAACTTAGACTTTGAAGCTTTTTCTTCAAAATTAACGCATTTCTTTCGTTTTTTTTCAGTTTTAAGTATTTTTTATGCATAATTAAAAATTCTAAAAAAATGGGCGGTTCAAAGGGGGTTAAGATACTTTCTTAAGAAGAATCATACACTGTACGAGGGGGAACAAAAAAAAAAACACCAAACTGAAAGTGCACTGCCATTCATAGATGTAATAGAGACTTCTCCCATTACATGGGGTTAGTAGAGACCTTCACAAAACAGCTGTGCAAACGGCGTCAGTTTGTAGGTTTACGTTTGAGCATAGTGTTGTGTTTCTCTTACTGTTATTTTGTTCCGATTGTGAAGTTCTGGGATCCTTCAACATCTCGAAACAACAAAAACGTTGAAAAAATCTGCCAAAAAGTTTTAAGACATCTGCGAGAGGATGTGCGAAAAAAACGCCCAGAACTTTGGCGATCAGGTGACTGGTTCTTTTATCACGACAACACCCCTGCACACATGGCCTTACGAGTGACCCACTATTTGGCTTCTCAGGGATGGCCTGTCGTTCCCCACCCTCCGTATTCACCAGACCTAGCCCTGTGCGACTTTTTTCTGTTTCTGAGAACAAAGAAAAATCTAAAAGGGAAGCGTTTTGATGATGTGGAGGCGGTAAAAACAGCTTTGCTAAGGGAATGGGACGATATCAAGGTTGAAGAGTTCCAAAGATGCTTCAAACAGTGGGGAAAAAAGACTTCACAAGTGCATCGCATCTAATGGAGAGTACTTTGACGGTAACTGAAGAAATTTTTTAAAAAAGTTAATAAATAAAGTTTTTATACAAAAAATCCGGTTGTTTTTGAGTCCCCCACATATGTTGGACTTCACTCCTCGCCAGTTCTGGATCATGTAGGTGTGCATCAGTGTTTTAACTACTGTAAATTTGTCCCTGTGGCATCAAACTGTGTCCCCAAGCACCAGCATGCAGTCATTGTGGAGAGGAGGGTCATAATTTCAAAAACCATAAAAATAAGAATAACAATGCCTGTATCAGTGCATTAATTGTATTCGCTGGTCACAATATTCAAAAAACCAAAACTGTGAGTTTCATCATAAAGCTTCAGATCCAAATTGTCCTAGACTGATAGCAGTAAAGCAGAAGTGAATAGAAAACACAAATTATGGTAAATATAGCTACTGATTTATCCTTGAATGTTATGCAACTCAATTTAAAACACTCCAGAAGTGCTAAGGATAGTCTGGTGCAATTTTTAAGTGAAACTCCCATTGATATCCTCTTAATCCAAGAACATTCTTACAATAATGTCGTAACAGGCTTTCCGACTGCCTTTAGGGTTTTTGCAGCTGATAGGTTTACTCCTTGGGCATGTATTGTAGTATGTAATTCTAGCCTCCAAGTTTTGATGCTAGATCAGATTAGCAACAACACCTGCGTACTTGTTACCCTTCAACTGGATGATGAGGCCTACTACATCTGCTCCTGCTATTGCCCACCTAATGACCCACATGAGGACACATTACTCTCTCTTGACCAAATGTTTCATATTATTCCACCATCTAAACTCATTATGGGTGTTGATTGTAATGACAGGAGTTATACTTGGTATGATATTGTTGAAAACAAGCATGGACATCAATTTGAAGAGTTTGTCAATATGCATAATCTATATATTTTCAATGAAACATGTGGTCCAACTTCTGAATCTCCTTTGGTTTAAAGCTGGGTGGATCTAACTGTGGTGGGTAACTCTGCAGTTTCCAGGGTGATCAACTGGCTGCAGCTGGATATTGAAACTTTTTCTGACCATAGTGCTCTATATTTTACAACTACAACAACTTCTCTTTGTCCAGCAACCATTAAAGAAAAATATAACCTTCACAAAGCTAACTAGACGAGATTGTGGATGCTGTCTCAAGTGGGCTTGACTCTTTCATCTTGGAGGTTTCACTCTCATCTGGGCTCAGCATTGATAACTTCTGCCAACAAATCAATCATGTTATTCAGTCAGCCACATCTATCTCTATTCCTAAGAAATTTGCTCATCTCAGGTCAGTGCCATGGTGGACTCCTGGGCTCAATCTCCATTGCAAAGAAGTTAACAGATTGAGATGAAGATATCAAAGGCAGAAAGATTCAACTTTAACAACACTTTTTGAAACTGATTATAGAGAAGCAGAGAGAAGTTATGTCAAGGAACTACGCAGGGCAAAAGCAAGTTCCTGGAAATTGTACTGTAACACAAAAGGGAGTGATAATCCTTGGAAAAAAATATACAAATTATTAGTCCCAGTAAATCCACTAACTCTACTTTTAAATCTGTCCAGGACTCTAGGGGGTATACCCATGATATATCCTCCACACTGCACTGCTTGGTAGACATGTACTTTCCTGATGACAATCCAACTGATGATACCGAAAGGGAAATTGAGATACCTTATGACTGAAGCACATTCTAGCCAATCTAGGGATTTTCCTCTTGTCACTGAAACTGAATCCTTCTCTTTTGATTTAGTTTTTGCTGAATTAAACCTCATCATTTGTCAATTAATAATGATGTATGCATTTTATTTTGTTGAAGATTAATGCTTTAACATGCTAAAAATGTTCACTTTTTCAAGAATTATTCTAGGAAAGTAGTTTAAATTGAGAGTCTGGAGATGTGAGATAATGTTTTTGTTGTAAAAGTAGTATTTGGGAGAGAATAGAACTGCATGAGTTTACATTCTCATGAGATAGTGAGAAAAGGAAATAACCACACCTCTGTTTATACATTGTCTTCCTGGTGAGTAATCATACCTCACATCTAGAGGTCACAGCTGCAGGTGGGAAGCAGCTTTAGTTTTCTGTCTCATGAGCAAATTACACCCCCCAATTGGAGGGAATTTACTAAATAAAAGGGATGGACATCCAAGATTCAGAGTGGACACGCCTCCCAAAGAGCAGACACAAAGGCTCTGTCTGTCAACGCTCTTGTCTCCCATCTCACCTTTGAGTCCTACTCCAGCATGAACCTCTTGACCCCTATCCCGACCCGACACCACATTAGGCTAACTGATCAGCCTATTTAAGAGGTATTATACATCAACGTGAACTCTCTCACTCTAAGTAGCTAGTTCGTCGAACTAGATATATTTAATCCTTTTTGCAATTTATCATTACTTTATTTTTGTAAATTAAACTTTTGATATTTGTTAATCTGTCTGTTAACCTGTTATTATTTGGAAATCAGACCCTTGTAGATGTACCTACCAACTCCATTGCATGTCCTCTAATTAGATATTAGATGTCAACTTTCGGACATCTAGATAGAATTATAACTGAAGACACATGATTTCTTAACTGGTGTCAGAAAAAAAATCTGACTGAAGATCTTCCAATCTTAAGTCAAACTGCTAACAACAGCCATACAGTGAGGTGAGCAGGCCCTAACTAACCTGATGTCAACAAAGGGGGTTAAGGAGATAAACCCAATCCCTGGCTTCTCACAAATATAAATTTCAGTAAAAATGTTATTGTTTTTTTGTACAACACAAATATATATATATATATATATACATATATTTATTTATTTATTTATTTAAATTTTTAGCAGGTAATGAGAGAAATTTATTTGTTTCTATTCCAAATTAAATTTCTTGTATAGAACTTTTTTTTATCTAAATATATAAAATTACATGTCCCAACTGACTGATTTATCATCACCCAGAGCAAACCACTGAACCTAAAGAGGTGAAATTTGATACACAGGGTATGTCATGAAAATCCTAAGAAAGGATTTTTCGAAATTTCCCCATGGGGAGAGGGAGAGGATTAAGGCTTAACCTGAAGAACGGCTTCTACTGTACTATTTTAGATGCAATTTTTTGTTTTTAACTACGTTTTAGTAGGGTACACAATGAGCATGCACACTAAGATGGGATTTTTGGGAATTCCCCACGGGGAAGAAGAAGAGGATTAAGGCTTGAAAAGTCTTAGCCCCAAAAGGCAGTACCACAAACATGGTTTATTTACAAAGTACTACTAAGGTAACTGAAACTCTATTTTTCAGTAAATATTTAAGTGCATTAGTCCATACTTTGAAACAAACAAAAATCAGTAATTTTACGAAATTAGTAACAACCAATGATTGCGAATCTTAGTGAAATAACGAGGAATGGTTATTTCTATCAAACTGCAAAATCCGCATGGGCAAAGTCACGGGTAAGAGCTAGTTAGTTAATAAAGTATTACATTGCCTTCAATTCAAAATTGCAATGCAACTGCTCAGTAAGCAGGAGTTGTGGGTTCGAATCTTTGGGTGAATTCTCTTCTTCCAGCCCCTTCTAAATTAATTATTAAAACATCAATTTAATTACAGTTACTAAATTTAGCAAGACATGGTGCCTAAAATCTGTCTCTAGTGCCAAATTACTTAGTATTTAATTAATAATAGTAGTAGTAACAAAGTCCAATATAATTGCAATCATTCAGCTTTAATATACAGTAAAAACTGCTTAGGCGACTTCCTGCTGTTGAAATGGGCAAAAATTTCTGGAATAGTTTATACATAGAGCCTTCGTATAAGTTACCTGTATTAAACATTACAATCTTAATTATTAAAATACAGACAAATGTTTTCGACATTCATCTTTGGGTCCTTTTGATCAAATACTGAAATATTCAAACATCAACCAAATACAAGAATATAATTTGTTGTACAATTAGAAATTTCAACATTTGGAACTCTCATTCAATGTGTTCAAAAATTGCAGTATTTAATCAAAAAGGCCTGAAAATGTGTTGAAAACATCTGAAAATATTCATCTCTATTTTAACTGGCAATACATCCACATGGTAAATTGGTAAATGGTGGTTGCATATTACTCTCTAGTTCTAGGCAGATTCTTTTCTTCCAGATTATTATAGTGCCTAATGCCCACCTGTAGTACAAATTACTCAGTATTTAATTATTAATAGTAGCAGGCTTTGAGATGTTTATATATATTTAATAATAAAGTGTGTGGTATTTAAGGTGTGTAAATATTGTTGTACATATTGTAGAATTTTGTTTTCATTTTTGGTAAATTATGAACTGTAAGACATCAATCACCATGTTATATTGAACCAGTAACTGATCAATAAATACATATTAATGTGATTACATAAAGCTACATTAATATAGGTGAATAAGACAGTTACCTTTTTGATTGGTAACCTTTTTTTCTGTTTCTTCTTGCTTTTCTGAAATTCTATTTTCAGACACAGTCGAAGCTTCTGAAATTACAGGAGTATCCACAGTAGTTCTTTCCTTATTAACATTAATGTTTGCTTGAGAATTGGAGACAGTTGGTTTCTGTTCTTTCTTTCCAGATCCTACATAATCAAAAACTTTTTAAAATATAATTTAATGTTAATTTGTAGAAAAAATAAAATTTTTACTATAAGTAGTTAACGTTTTTCAAGCACACTAAAATTATTGTCTAACACAGTTTAATTTTCTTATTATTATACAAGTGAAATTTAATATGTTATGCCAATTTAAAAATTCTAGTAACTTTGTCCAAATTTTAATTTTTGTCTATATTATTATGTTTAATAATAAAATATAATTGCGATTTATCACAGTAATATTCAATAATCTGGAATGTATCAAGATAATCTTACATAAAACTGCTAGCCTATTTATTACCCATGGTAAGCTTTTAGCTAGATAATGTTTTGTATAGTGTGTAGTTATAAAAATGTAACACTAACACACACAGTAAGGAAGTACATGTACCGTGAATTAAATTACATACATACATACATACACACTTATATACAAAAATTGGTAACTGACCGACTTTACTATTCTTATTATTTATAATGTTTACATTTCGCTGGAATTTAGATTGACAAATTTTGTATATCAAGTTAAATGATGACACAAACTGTATGTATGTAATATTAATATATATAAACATTTGTTAGAAAAGTGTGCTATATATAATGAATCTGACAATATTTCAAGTGATATCTTTGTTAGAAATATAAAGAAAACTAGATTAGCAAGTCTAAATATGATCTAACTGAAAGCATAATTTATGATACATATATAATTCCTGCTTATGCTGGAACAGTAAGGTATGAAATTGTTTTGAAATCACAAACCATCAGACTTGTCATTCATCTGGTATTTTAACCAGCAAGTACATACAACAAATATAGTTTTCATTTTTATTTTAGGATATAAATACGAATAAATTGAATAATACAAATACAAATTTGTATTAACCAATTTTATCTCAATTCAGAATTTATACAAATAAATATGTACAAATACTGAACTATAAAATTGATTGATTGAATCAGTTTGTTCACTTGTAAGTATTTCTATACATAGAATATGAAATAGTTAATGTGATAAAATTGTATCAATGCTGTTGTGAAATCAATAAGAACAAATTTACAGCATAATACATTCGTTGGAATCGTAATCACAAACATTTTTGATAGTGAATTGGCCCATTTAAAATCATTTTCTCTTCAAAAAGTTTGAATTTACGACTTTTAAAAATCAGTTAATTAATGCAACTGAAGTGAAACTTAATTAAGTACTTCAAATTTAAGCTTTTCCACATATATAACAGTTTACATTAACACAATTATTTTGCTATTTACCATAATGACAAATACAGTGAGTGATCAGTTAATAAACATAACCCATTCCAAGACTTTGTTCATTATCCAAATTGTTTATTAACTAATTATCGATTTACCATAGGTTTTTATGGGAATTTGATTAATTCGTTCTGGAGACTCCAAAAAATAAAAAATATATACCTTTTCTACTATATTTATTTATATGTGATAGTAAAAATACATATATATGAAGTCTTGCATTTTTATTAGTCATGTTTTTCCTGTTTGTAAGGGTTAAAGAATCTGTCCAATGTCGATTGCTTTTCTCTTTTCTTCAGGATTTTTTGGAAGTAAATAATAGTATTGTAATTGTAGAGATCCCCAACCCCATTAACCTTATTCTAGTTTGGATGCCACTTGGATGATCATTGTTCTGACATCCTCCCACTTCTTCAAAAGATCTTTAGTAGCAGATGTCGACATTGGTCCTCTTTCGTCTTCCTCTTTTTCAAAAGAAAACACATCTCGCTGAGTTTCTTGGTATTCTTCAATTAAGAGTTCTTGGAGTTTTTCTGTTGTCAGATCAGTTTCAGGTTCCATTATGAGCCCTAAAATGCTCTTTATTTCTCAGATGTGATTTTCATTACTCCATTAGCAGCTTGAGACTTCTTGATATATCTTTCATAACTAAGATTGTGCCTACTGCAGACCTGATCAAGCCATACTGCCTAGCAACATCAGACAACTTGTGCCCATTTTCTACCTTGGCTATTATCTCTTACTCGGTTTCTAAGGTGAGCACAGTTCTTGACACTCCTCTTTTTAGGCTTCACAATATTATCAGTTTCTTTTTTAAATAAAAAGTTCAGAAAAGCATTTACAAAAATTCAGAGAACAGAAATCAACTAGCTCACAAAAAATTATTTAAATGCAAGGCCCGGATGAAATTCGAAATTTGGTATTAAAATGTTAATGAATATCCAATAGGACAGTTAAACTTTCACCTTCCGTAAATAAACCCTGACACAAAACTTAACAAGTGCCCATTTAAAATACTATAAAAAATTATTTGTCAGAAAGGTAAACAAAAAGCTGAATTACAAGGGAGAGTTTCAAAATTTGGAGGAATACTATTCAATCAGTATCAGATTGAGCGTTGATGTCTCCTGTTCTCCAAAAGGTTTCGAACTGTTACCTGAAGACAAGGGAAAATCAATTGGTATCTGTTATTTTCCATCACTTCTTTTTATGTTTGTTCAGTAAAGTGTTTGTTATCCAAATGTGTTCGTTGTCCGATCATAAAAATCTTTCACGAAAGTGTTCATTATCCAATTGGTTCACTATCCGAATTGTTCATTAACCAATCACCCATTGTACTTAATATGTCTTAAGAATTTATGAATAATTTCATATATAAAAGGTAATTTTTCACTTATTGTAAAAAATTTCTATCTAATTTCTTTCTAATGTTTATTAAATAAGCACTTGATGTTGTCATTCACTTGTCTAATAATATTACATGTTAAAATTACTAAGTTAACATATTTCTCAATATTTATTTACAGTAGTACAAAGAACAGAGTCCATGTGTGTTCTTACATATATAAATATATACAATTTTTTTTAATTAAATAACTAAGAAACATAATTTGCATTGAATGTGTTTACCTTCATTATTTTTTGCAGTACTGTCAACTTTAACTTGGTGATTTTTTCTCGGGACAGAAACGTGAGACGACGACTTAGACACGAAGGTCGTAGATACGCTCTGCGGAATTGACGACGTGGATACGGAATTTGTTAATGCCGTATTTGAAGTTTTAACGTGATTATGAGATGCAATTGCAGGACATGAAACATACTGCGAAGAACTGGAAGATACTTGAGGATGTTTTGAAGAATTCTGCACATTATGTGAAGAATTATTATTATTGTTATTATTGTTGTTGTTATTATTATTGCGAGTTCCTTTCACAACATATGGATTCTTTTTTCTTGGAGGTAATGAATGAACACTAAAGAAAGAACAAAATGTAGTTAAAACACTATTTTTCCACAATAATTCTTTGCATCAAATTTTTTAAACAGAAACATACATCATCAAATCTCTCATTCATAAAATAATATTCATTACTCAAAATTTTAAAATTTTATTTACAAATAATTTTATAAACATCCCTTATAAATCTGTTGTATTACAGCCTACATAACCAGGAATTTATGACACTTTTGTAAAAAATTTAACAAAATTCATACAAATTAATGCAAAACACAATGAAACAAATTAAGAAAGCAGATATACCCCAGAGAAATCAGTTGTAAACAAACATATATTGATTAATTATCAAATAAATATTTTGAATATTTAGTTGTTGTTTGAAAGTATAGTAAATTCTTGATGTGTACAGCTAATTCATTTTGAAGTTTTGAACCACACTGAAAAACTGCATAAGTCGCATAATGCTTAATTATAATACAAGTTTTAACATGTAATAATTTCAAAGGATTAATTAAAGCTAAACAGTTTCTGCTTATAAAAGTAAAGTTTTAAAGAAAAAAACTTATTTTCTCAGAGTCACCATCATCTATTATGTATGTTCAACATAGATTATCTAACAAACAAGTCAAAATAACTCACGACTATATATCTATAAATCTCTATAACTTGAATCTAGATTGAAGATGACTAGAATATCAAAAGCGCTCAGCAACTAAATAAAGATAAACAAAACACCTTTCTTGCCGAGAAATAAACATAATTTTTAAACAACAAACGTTTTCAGCCTAATTAATAGGCCATCTTCAGGTTGAAAACTAAAACGGAACGTAAATGTTCCATGAATAGAACATAAAAATTTAAATCAAAAATTTTACAAGAGAAAAAATAACGGAAGAATATTTAAAAATTAAAATAAAACAATAAAACAAAAATAACATAAATCTTCAATGTATTAATTCTGGTCGGAGTTTGTAGTAAATTTCTTAACCAAATATTTCCATGCCGAAGGTAGGCTCTCGGAATCCCTCGCATTTAAACAGCCTTCTCTTATCTTACTTCTGTATATTTCTATTTTTTCTGCCGTCATTGCTAGAGTTGGGGAAGACAGAGGTTTGATGATTGTTGCCTCGTCCCATTTCACCTCAGATCCTTGTGCTTGCGCCATTTGTGACAAAACCGTTGAATTAGACGCTTTTCTTATGGCATATCTATGTTCCTTGAGCCTTACTCCCAAGCTTCTGGTGGTGACGCCGATATAATCTTTTTTAACGTCCAGTTGTAAGTTTTCATAAGGAATCTTATACACCCCTGCTCTCTCCTCCGCTCTGATATTATCCTTATCGTTTCTCAAGATCTTATACAAATTAGGGGCTCTTCT